GGCATGCTATGGTGGCTTATGCGTCGGGACTCCCCCCGGTGGGGTCGGCTCCCGCTGCTACTACAGTACCCTTTACAGCGCCGAGCTATCAGTCTCAGGGAGCTTCCAGCCATGGCAGATCGCTGCTCTCCACTTTGCCAGGGCCCCGCTTGGCCGTACCGGTGCCGTACCCCCATGGCCATGTGGCCTCACAGGAGTCGGCGTCCGTCTCCGTGCCGTCATCGGCACCGGCATCAACCCAGTGGTCTACCCCGGCACCGGGCCTAGGCACCCCGGTACCGTTTCAGTCGGGCATGACTCAGTCAGCATCGAGCTTGAGCACCTCGGTGCCACAGCTGCTGGCCACACAATCGGCACCGGGCCTGAGTACCCCGGTGCCGCAGCTCCAGTCGACGCAATCGGCACTGGGCATGGGCACCCCAGTACCACAGCTTCATACGTCGCACTCAGCACCAGGCCTAGGCACCCCGGTGCCACAACTCCAGGCATCACAACCGACACTGAGCCTGAGCACCTCGGTGCCGCAGCTACTGGCGATGCAGCCGGCACCGGGCCTAGGCACCCCGGTGCCGCAACTTCACGCAACACAGTCGACACCGGGGCTGGGTACCCCGGTGCCACAACTACTGATGACGCAACCAGCACCGGGCCTGGGCACCCCGGTGCCACAGTTGACTGCTTCACACTCGGCAGAGTTCGCCGCACCGGGCCTGGGCACCCCGGTGCCACAGTTGACTGCTTCGCACTCGGCAGAGTTCGCCGCACCACGCATGGGTCCCCCAGTGCCGCAGATGGCACATCCTCGCCGCGCCCATGCGGGCAAACCTGAGTCGATGGCCAGGTTTGCACCACACTCCTCATCGGCTCCGCCTTGGCCGGAGTCCGATTACTCTTCGGACTCAGACGCGGTGTCGGTTCGGTCAGGGTCTTCGGGAGCATCCTCGACCCACAAGTCCAGATCCAGACACCGGAGGGACCACAACCAGCAGATGTGGCCCCCTCTTTCACAGTGGCCTTTTTGGACTCCCTGGGCCTATCACCAGTGGCAGGGCCAGTCATCACCATCTATGGGGTCGGAGGCTTCAGGGCACCGTTCCCGCCCGTCTGCGTCCCTGTCTAGGGCGCCTCCCTCCCCCCTTAGAGTGCCGCAACAAGATCCTGTGGCACCGCAACCACCGGTACCGGAGACAGGCCCTCCGGAGGCTCAGACCGTCCAACCGGCCCCAAAGTTGGTCACGACCGCTCCCGTGTTGATTCAGGAGTCGTTGTCGTCGTCCTCCCCCGATGAGGCACTGGCAGACCCAGCGCCTGTGCTACCGTCAATGGACACCAGAGCACATCAGGACCTCCTGCGGCTCATGGCTTCCAACCTGGCTGTTCCGGTTGAGCCCATAATTGAGGATACCAATCCAATGGTAGACATCCTCACTGAGGACACCCCTGTGCATTTCGCTCTACCGCTCAATAAAACTGTTTCAAAGATTACTAATGCCCTGTGGCAAACGTCAGCAACTCTGACTCCTACCCAAAAAGGGGTAGAAAGGCGTTATTTCGTCCCGCAGTCGGGTCACAAATTTCTTTACTAGATGCCAGAGCACTTCAGGACCTCCTGCGGCGCATGGCTTCCAACCTGGCTGTTCCGGTTGAGCCCATAATTGAGGATACCGATCCAATGGTAGACATCCTCACTGGGGACACCCCTACGCGTTTCGCTCTACCGCTCAATAAAACCGTTTCAAAGATTACTAATGCCCTGTGGCAAACGCCAG